CCGGGTCCTCCGGAGCTTTGCTCCTCGTCTCCCTGGTCTGCTGGCTCCCCCAGCAGACCAGGGAGACGGGGAGCAGCTTTTCTCGCCCTGGAGGAGGCGGGCGGCAGGACCAGGCATCCCACCGCTCCAGTCCTCCGGGGCGAGAAAATCCCCGTTCGTAACTGCGGATCCGACATAAGTCGGATCCGCGTAACTCGGGGACTGCCTGTATGTGGGCATGTGGTTTGGGTAACCTGATTGCAAAAAGTCCAGCAAAACTGCAGAGTCAGATATCATTCAGACATAATTATAAAGAAATAAACCAAAAACAAAACTAGACCTCAACTCCAAAATTCTTCTCTCCCTGCACTCGCAAATCTCCCACTGACATCATTCACAGTTCTATTAACCTGTGTAAAGCAGCTGATAAACACTGAAGTCTGCTGAACATCTCTGAAAGCAGAATTTTGTCCTATTTAAAAGACAAGTGCTGCATTTCTTCTGTCTGTGCACTGAACTTCCATTGACTTCAGGGTTTCCTTTGCAGAATGACAGCAGGATGGAGCCTATGGGACTCATCATAATATTTTATATCAGCATTGTTACATAGCTCATGCTGTTTCTTAGCTTACTTTATATGTTAAATTACATTATGCAAGACCCAAATCTGCCTTTATGCTTCTCAGAAGCTATTGCAAATAATGGGTTTTCATGGGATGTAAGTCAGGGCAGAATTTGGTCCTGAGTGGATAAGTTTGTTAATCTACACAGAACCTCCTATTGCCCACAAATAAAAATGCTGTGGGCACACATTCATCTTGATTTAATTACCTGAACTTCATTAACTTTGGACACAAACAGGCATTTTAATGAAGCTGCAGGTGTGAGTGAGTGGTGTGAAATTTAATTTTAAATATATTCATCTGTCAGAATTACAGATGACATTTAACAGCATTGCCATGTATTTATTTCCTACCCTTTCTGCACCACTGTGTAAAACACATAAATGCATTTAAAGAGATTCCTTAAGGCTGAACAGTTCCTGGAAGGGTTGGGGTAGAGGGAAGGGGGAAAGAAGGAAGGGAGAAGAAATATTACTTACGCCGTTTGCAGCCACATTTTTTTATTCTTTTGGGATCTGTGATGTCATCATGACAGGCCTTGCAGTAAAAAAATGCCCTAGAGAGACAGAATGGAAAAACTGACACATTTCTTAATCCACACAAATGAAATTAGTCCCACATTTCCTCCTGCTACATTGCCAAATTAATGAAACATGCCAGCACTAATTTCCTTTAATCTTTGGAAAGGTTCAGACATTTAAAGGAGGAAATGTTTGCTGCAAGACCATTAATTTCAAACACAAGACTATGATTCAACTTAGTGCTTCTTTTAATAAACTTTCATTTGAAAAATAATTAGGAGAAAGGTTGACAAATATGACACAGTGGATCAGATCATTTGCATTTCATCTTTAAAAAGTAGCATCCAATGAGTCTCATCATCAAGGCACATATGAAATGAGTTCACTGTTCTTGACTTGAAAGTCACCAATTCAGAGCTGAATGGTTTTTGAGAAGGACAGCTAAGGATTTAGAGCCAAGTTTGCCCCAGACCTCCATATTAGTTAGAGCAATCTGGGATTTCTGTATCATTGTGACCTAAATTGTGGTCAAGAACATCATGTGTGCAATTACTTGCATCTATAAAAATGGAAGCTAGCGTCTGAAAAATTAGTCTTAAAAAGCAGTGAATAAACACGGTGACTTTAGTTATCTTGGTTCAGATTTCTTTCCTTTTGCCATCAGGCTTCAATTAGAGCAGAATCACACTCATTTTGACGGCATAAGAAAACCCTCAGCAATAATCCCTAAGCAAACAAAATGATGTAATTCACAAGACGACCTACCTAGCTCTGCCTATTTAGGTTTTTACATATTGCCTGTTACCCTACGTTTTGCATACTTCACCTAGCAGTAAGTGCAATAAAACATAACATACCAATAAAATAAAAATGATGTTTTAACAAACATACACCACTGGAGATTTCACACGCCTGTCACGTCAGTATGCCACATACTAATGCTCTGACACGTGTACACTAAGTGACGATCGCAAAGCACGTCTCAAATTGAGCCAGTCTGGGATGCTATAGTATGCACATGTTTTTTTCTAGCATGACAAACTGGGGCACACCAGCCCTTCAGTAGCTGCCAAACTTCCCCCATGGCCTGCCTCTGACTCCTCTCTACAGATTCAGGTTGATGAAAATGAGAGGTCTTGCAGGTAATACTGCTCCTGCACCTGAGGTGGCTTGAAGGCTCTGGAAATAGGAGAGGCCAGAAGAACCTACAATCCTGGGATACTGGAAATTAAAATAAGCATCAAATGCACAGGGACAGGAATGTATAAAATCTTAGTTCCAGTGTAAATGAAAGTACTGTTATGCACTCATGGAGACAAAAATAACAAGGGTTTATTTATGTTTCACAGCGTTCAGGGATGTTAAAGAGAGGGAGAGGGCTCAGGGAACATGGTACTTTCCTGGCATAAGAAGAAACATAATCCATCTGCCAGACCCCTGAAGCACAAGAAAAAAGAGGGAGTGACTAGCACTGCGCACAGGAGCAGCAGAGCCTGCAGGGCTATTTCCGGGTGTTTTCCTGTGCTGTTTCCAGGCATTACCTGAAACTGGGTGTTATGGTCCTCACGCTACAGAAGGGGGAACTGGACCCTAGAGAAAACAAGGGATACATCTGAAGTCAAAGAGCCAGTTTGCCACAGAGGTGTCCAAACTCTCAGACTGCCAGGCTACCTGGAGTCAATGAATATTCTCCAGGATTGACCTACGGCTGATGTTTTTAATTAGTGTCAGGTTTAAAACACCCCTTAAAACAGAGGGGGTTTTCCAACATTGGTAAACCTCTTTCTACGAGGAGGAGCTCTTTTGGAAAAAGGCGTGTGTGGACAGGGAAGAGGGAGTTATTTTGAAAGAAGAGGAAAAAAGAAAAAGAAAAGGTGCCCTGGTGGCCACTCTGCCTATAGTAATCACAGCTTAAATACGAGACAATATCCATTCGTGTGGAAGCTATCTTTTGAAAAAGCAGATCGCTTTTTCAATGTGCTTTTGCTGTGTTGACACTCTCTTTTGGAAGAAGTTTTTTTGGAAGCTCTCTTCTGGAAAAGTTTCTTTCGAAATAAGCCTGCAGTCTAGACATAGCCTTAGGACAAGAAGCAATAGGAATTTTTTCCTAATATCCAACCTAAAACCTCCCTTGCTGCAGTTTAAGCCCATTGTTTCTTGTCCTATCCTCAGAGGCCAAGGCAAACAATTTGACTCCCTCCTCCTTGTGACTCCCTTTTAGATACTTGAAAACTGCTATCATGTCCCGTCTTAGGCTTGTTTCATTTGGAAAGGAGAAGACTAATTCTTTCAGTCTTCCCTCGTAGGTCTTAGGCTTGTTTCGTTTGGAAAGGAGAAGACTAATTCTTTCAGTCTTCCCTCGTAGCTCATGTTCTCTAGACCTTTCATCATTTTTGTGGCTCTCCTCTGGACCTTCTTCAATTTCTCCACATCTTTCTTGAAATGTGGTGCCCAGAACTGGACACAATACTCCAACTAAGACCTAATCAGAGTAGAGCAGCAGAATGACTTCTCATGTCTTGCTCACAACACACCTATTAATGCATCCCAAAATTATGTTTAGCTCATGGCCCACTATGACCCCTAGATCCCTTTCTATAGTACTCCTTCCTAGATAGTCGCTTCCCATTAAGTATGGATGCTATCTTTCGAAAAAGCAGATCACTTTTTCGATGTGCTTTTGCTGTGTAGATGCTCTCTTTTGTTAAACTGCATTTGTTCTTATTAAACTTCATCCTATTTATCTCAAAGTAATTCACTTAGATGAGGTTTAACTGGTAATTCAAAGTAAGGGGTTTATTTCGGAATCACCCTTCTCTGCCGCGTGTAGACGTGGGCAGTTATTCTGGGCTATGCAATTTCCAAAATGGCGACTGCCCAGGAACATGCTAATGAAGCGCAGGATATTTAAATCCCGCGCTTCATTTGCAATTTCAGTCGCCCTCATTAGCCTCCCTAGTTCAAACTAGGGGGCTAGTATAGACATACCCTTAGGAAGGAACAATCAGAGTAGAATAATAAGAAGAATAAGGGGGTCTAATTCAAACAACTGTGAATTTAATCTACACAGAACAATTCAAACTGGCCCAGATTCAGCTGTGTGAATTATATGAGAATGTGTAAGTGACTTGAAAGCAGCAGGGTTTAGTGGAGTCAGCATAACGCAAGCCATCAGGAGATTTGGGTTCTAAGCCTGCTATGAGGACTAGTGGACTAAAATACTCAAACCAGTCACTGTCAGAGATAGAACTGGGACTCAGGAGAGTCAGTCTCTATTCTTCTATGGACCATGTGGACTCCTGGGATACATTTCCCTCCTTACTGTGTGATTTTCCTATTATTCCGTAGGCCAAAATTTCCTCTCCAGTTTTTGCAGTTCCCTCTTAGTACATTTAGTCCAGCTGAAGCAGGTCCTTCAGCATCAATCCCTCCCTACACCATACAAGTTTAGAAGACACTGCACAGGAGTGGGGTCCCTGCTGTCACACTCTAATGCAGAACTAGAACCCTAGTGTAGGCTACATGGGATGCTCTCTGGGTAGGTCTGCTCTGCTGCTTGGCTAGACATACCTGCACCAGATGGCTAAAAACAGCAGTCACCCTTCAATGTAGCTACAGAGGCATGAGCTTCAGGATGAGCTGTGTCAGCAGGCCAGGGACCCACATTGCTAGAGTGCACTAAAGACTGCCACACTGAAGACTGCTACTTTTAGCTGCGGTAGCATGATGAAAGCTATGCCTAGCCATGCTCCAATCACACTGCAGATCGCAGTGCAGGCTATACCCTAAGTGCAAGACCAAGAATAAGTGACTGAGATGCTTTTTAAAATGAAATTACCATATTGATAAAATAATTAAAATAAATGGATTTCCATAATGCATAATAAAATGTAAGTGGCTAAAGCATGAAAAAGACATCACTTATATTGCATCTATGACACATTAGCACTCAACTCTTTATATACAGCTCTTCACTACAATAAATCCTTAACATAAAGGTGTGTAATATGTACCTATTATGTAAAAAACATAAAAAATCATAGTTTTAGCAATATACAAAATTACTCTACTACAATTTATGGTGCATAAACCGTGTTAAATATGCAATGCAATATGGTATAGTTATAACCTAAAAGATGTGTCAACATCCCTTAAAGCACATAACAATAAACAAAAACATTTAATTTGAGCTACAGTGTATAACATATGTTTGGTTTGTTTTATTGTACTTAGGTAAAAATCCTGTTTTTTACTCTCCTAGAATTGTTGTTATTGTCATTGTGTAGAGATAAATTTTCCAATAGCCCATTGATACGTAGGTAAGACCCCAAACTATGGTCTCTGGTTAAGCCTTTGCAGAGGCCTTGCTGTGCAGTCGAGGCAAAGACACAAGGCCTTGATGAGCCAAAACAGATAACAGGAAACTCTGGGAAAACAGGACGGACACAGGACAGCAGCCCTATCTGTTTATAAGCTAAGCAGCGCAACACCAAGTGGAAAGCAATAATTGGGTACCATTATCATGAATTTCACATACACACCCAAGGTTATGGCTCTGCAGAATGCCACCCAGTCTGCTTCTTGGCATGGGAAAGCACACCCAGCTGCCTTCTCAAGGCTAACCACAAATTGTTGCCAATGAACTAGAGATAGCCCACTCTAACAAGCCCAACTCGCAAATCTACCAAAGGCATACTTTAAACAATTGCTTGCTGCGTACCTTACTTTGTCTTTGTTTATACCCCCAGAACACCACCTATAAACCACCCCCGCACATGTTGGAAAAGCACCATCAGCATTCCTATGAATCCCAACTGGAAAATAGCTATGCCTTGCAAGGCAATCCTTGGGGAGACCCTATACCGTCTATTGTAATTATTTGCTTGGCAGTGTTTGCTGAGCCCAAGTGGCCAAGTGGCACTCCACCAGCGCTGTGCGTAATAAACCTTCCTGCTTGAATCTATATGGTGTATATATGTTGGTTTCCAAAACATTTAGATCCCACCAAAGCATCTACCACTTGTTTGAAAACAAAGGCTGAGAATTCATGAAGAGGGATTCAGTTTCTCTCAATTTTGGAACATGTTTTCTGACTCTGATTTACCAAGTTCAAAGGGTGAAATTGGCAATCAATTTTCATAAATGGCTTTGTGAGCTAAAGCACACCTGATAAAGACCAGCTTTGCACAGAATGGCTAGGGAAGGTAGGAAGGGAGAGAGCAACAATGCATATTTCTGGTCAAAGACTTCTGGAAAAGGCAAGTCGCAGCAGGAAGATCTGCTTTCACTTGCTGTTGTCATGGATGGAAATTGGTATACCAACCACCTCAGCGAGTAACAGGGCTGGCTGGTAACGAGAAAGGAGTGAAGGAAGCCTGCTGGCCAAGAAGAGGCACCACAGCATGGCGGCTGGTAACGAGAAAGGGGTGAAGGAAGCCTGCTGGTCAAGAGGAGGCACCACAGCATGGACTGCACTGATGGACCAGCAGGGGGAGTGGCTAGCCCTATATGCTACCACTATGTGCAACCACCAACCTTGCACTCCCAACCTCAAATCCAAAGGGAGTTTAACACACACAACTTTGAAGTAATAATTTTGCTGCAACTGAAATAAAATGAAAACGACTTTTTTTTTTTGGCCACGAGAAAGAGTCCAAAAGAAGAGCCACATGTGTTTTGATGGCTGAATTTGGTCCAAATCTACCCTCATTGAAGAAATGTGATTCCTCCTGCTGACTTCCATGGGAGTTGGGATGAAGCTCTGAATGTGAAGAACAAACCAAGGAAGAAACTGCATTTTTCAATTGAAAAGAGCCAATAAAAAAAATTACCTTTTTACTTCTTTGGCATCACTTGCAATGAAGAATCCTAAAGTACCTTCTTGAATCTTGACATGGTTTCCAGGATTGATTAATATACTGCTCAATGAAACACAAACAAACACAAAAAGACAAAGGCTGTGAGTTTATATCACTTCTCATGGAGTGCTCAAAAATGCTGTATTTTTTGTCTTATTCTAGGGAACCCACTAGTCAGGAAAGGCTATAAGGAAATTTGAAGCCAGTTTCTTCTTTAAAATTTCCAATCAGACCACTGCTTCAACATCAACAATGGGTATCATTACAGGACTTCAATATGTAACAGGCGTGTGTATCTTCCCTTAAAATCATATCACCATTTCAGCTCTAAAGTCACTACTTTCTTACATTCTAGCCATCACAGAATTAGCATCTTTTACCAAAACAAAGCAAAAAGAGCATTTCAGAAAAGACATGTGTGAATCGGAACAGTTTAGCTTTCTTGCGCTGTTATACAGGCTGATGAAAAAGTTCATGATATGGTGAAAAGGGAAGAGATTCCCCCCCCCCCCTAAGGAAGCAACTGCTTGATAATAGTACAAAGGCATTTCATGAATTAAATGATTTTAAATATCATTGTGCCAATTTCTTATGAAAAATACTGTAATGGGACCCCAACTGTATATATTATATTGTTTATAATATAATAAATATACACATACACTCAAGGGGAATGGTACAAGACAACCAGTCGCTATTACTGAGGAAAACATAAAATGAATATAACATTTATAAAAAAGCCTTTACTATACAGCCTCTGGAAAAAAACAAAATAACCCAGCCACCCTGACAGAGTGACTGCAATTCAGTTTGATGGAGGAAATCGCAGGTTAACATGGGGGGTGGGGGTGTTGATCTCTGCTTATGTGTAAAATATCTGCTACACCGTCGAGAAGATTTAGCACCAGAGTATTTTTGGTTATGGCAATTTTATAAGGTATCAGGCAGCCATGTTTATTCTTCATCATGTTTTACTATGAAGTGTAAAATAACTCCGCTCTTGACTATAAGTTTAATAAAGCTTGCCAAATGTTTCACTTTCTTTTTTATCAAGTTTAAGCTTTGTAAGTTAAAGAGTAGTAGGAGTATGCATGCAAGATTTACAGTAAACTAGGGATAAAAGAAACTATGATGCTTGTGGCTTTATCAGACAGTGACTTTTAGGAAAGATGTAAATGCAGCAATCGATAAAACGTATATGTGAATGGACATAAGGTGCTAATATTGCAAGTATGCGCATTGCTAAAGATTTGTACCCTTATTATTTGGGAAATATAGGCTCAAATGTTTCCATAGTCTTGATTATAGATAAATTATTGAGTTAGATAATGCTGGTAAGTACAGAATGTTTTCTTAAATACATAACATTTTCATATACTCTACTTTATATACTGAATATGTATGACTTATGCATGTGCATCTGCTCACATACTTTTATATACAGATGCACACATATACACATCAAAAATCTTATGTGACAAGAACATTACCTAACTTTTAAAAGCTGATTTTGCAAGCTTACTGTCAGATATAAGGCTGCCAGTGCACCCTAAATTCGGCCTCTTGGGCATGTTTTAGGATATAGTCCTCATTGTCATGATCATGTACTATTTTTAGCTCCTTAACCGAATAGTTTGGATGCTGCTCACTGAATAATAAGCTGCTCAATAGTTTGTTTTATTGCTTCACCTGTAGCCCTGTGCAGACAATCCTGTTCTATGTACAGAATTATTCACCGCCTCATGGATTTTTCAGCACTATAGTATCTGACTACTTCCTAAATATTTATTCATTAATTTGCATAGCACATCTGTGGAGCGAGAGGTGTGTGTGTGTGTGGGTAGAGGGGTGGATTATTCCTATTTTGCAGTGGGGAGACGAGCAGAGGGGGGTAGGGGGGTGGATTATCCCTATTTTGCAGTGGGGAGACGAGCAGAAGCAGTGGGAGACTAAGGTTAAAAGAGTTTAGTCGTTTTAGATACCTGATCTGACATTACAAAAGCCTGATATTTTTCAGACTACTTAGGATTATATAGCACCTGGTATGTTTAAAGCCTCCCTTTCCTCATTCACAAAACAGCTCCAGCTTCTGCAACAACGGAGGCGGCTAAGATCCTACAGACAACAGCCTCCATCACTACACAAACCTAATTTGTTCTAAAGCACAGTCCATCCAGTCCAATGAAAGAGGCAAGAGGTCCTGAAAAAAGTGTGTCCAAGGGGACTGAACTGAAGATGTACAGGCAACCTTAAGTCTGACATTTGCCAACTTTTGAGTGCTTGACTTGGCAACTAAAGTGTTCTTTTACTTGGGGAGGGGCAAGAAGGTTGATACAATTTTCTACATTTTAAAAAAGCAAACTGAAAAAACAAGACATTCGATTACATGGAATTATATTGGCACCCACATGGCGGGAGCCTTTAAGAACTACCGCACAGATCTCAGCTACTCAAGTTAAAAGAGAAACTGATAGCAACAGTAGATGGATGAGACACATTCTTTGCCAGTGGTTGGGTGTCATGGATATTTGATCCCAGCGAACAGTATCCTCCAGAATTCCTGAGCCTCAACATTTTTACCTGTTAGCAAAGACCTTTCTGCTCCTGTCCCACTGAAACCTGACACATTCTGCCTCCTTTCTCCAGCCTATCCCTTCTCACTCCTCCTTGCCTTCGTTTTGCCCTTACCTCCTCATCCTAGTCCAAGACTCCTCACCTAGCCAGTCCCAGTCTCCAACTCCAACACTTCCCATCTTAGTCACAGTCTCCTGGCTCAGCAAGTACCATTTTTTCTTCCCCTTTCTCCAAATTTTGTATTCCATCTTTCCCACCCAAAGCTCTTTGTCCTAAACACCTTTCCTCCCTGTGACATCAGATTCTTGGTCTCTCTGATGTGAGTCAGGCTGCTTACTCTGCCATCTTGTCAGGATGCCAGTAGCTGGGAAGGGGAAAGTGTGATAAACACAAGAGTGACATTTTGCCTCTTCTCAACACTGGTATCCAGTGACAAAACAGCAATAGAATCCAGAAGTAATAATGGCAGGGGAAGCCCTACTCGGCCCCTACTGTCCCGGGATGGATCATGTTCAGTGCAGATGGAATAGTCTGAGAATTCAGCTGCAAGTAAAACAAATCTCTTTGCACCATGGACAAATAGATATTTCAAATGTTAGTGAGTCTGCGTTTTTTCACAGAAAGTGCAAGAGGAATATCCACAACACATTGATAACCCCTATGACAAATGTCAAGACCTTGTTCCAAAGCATGGAGATGAAAGATGAAATGACTGTAAAATATTTTTAAAGAGCAAAAGAACGTATTTTTCCTAAATTTCATTCTTGGAAATTGATCAAGTAGCCTGAGGCAGATACCAGGTATGGAAACTTTTCTCCCAAACCGTAAAAGTCTGTCAAGGTGACAAGCACCTGAAAAGAGTGTCTTATAATGGGAAGTGACAGGCAAACTTAACTTTAGGTGACATTTTCAGTTTCACCTTTAATATGTATGTAGAATACCACATCACATGAATTGAGTTCATATCTGTCAGAAAATTTTGAACTATACTATGTCATAACCACAAAATAAGGACCGTGTCCATGATGGGAATAAAAAAGAAATCATTTTTCTTAATAGTATTAACAATAAATAACAGCAGAGGTTCACATAGGTTTGCTTTTATTCTCACACATTTTTGTAAGTAACACAAACATCAGCTACTCACAAGCAAGTCCTATTCATCTGGAATGCTTTCGAAGAGCAACTAAAAGAAGGTATTTCTGATGCGATAGCTCTCTTACAAAAGCTAACAAACATAGCCCAGGCTAGTGATACTAATTATTGATTCAAATAGATATAGAGGGAAAGTATTATTGAGTGACTGGGGAAAAAAAACCTGTGAACTTAATAACTTACCCTTTACAATGATATATATCTGAATAACAAGTCCATAATAACCAACTTGTATGATTGTGTGTCTCAATAGAGAAGATGATGTGGTATAGAAATCTTGGGGATCTAGAAGAAGATGACTTTTACCAGAACTTCATCCAGTCTCAGCATCTCCTTAATGTACCCCTAGTCTTTTATACATAGTGAACAGCAGTGAATACAGCAAAACTATAAAATGCATTGTATGACATGCATTGGATCAAATATACACTGATATCAAAGTCATTTGTTTCTTTTAATCTAATACCTACCTACAAAATCAGACCAGGAATGTCATATAATTTGGAACTTTTATAGTTCCAGCTTAGGTTAGCTTCAGATCTAATGAGGAAATAGCCAGCTAGAACACTTTTGAGATGTAGCTTCTTTGGCAGTCCTACTTTCAGGAGTATTTTCCTCTAGCAGAAAGGGATCTCAAAGTTTCTCATGACATGGGCCACATCTCAATACAAAGATTATGAATGGAAGGGTAGCTTGTAAAGGACACAAACATGTGAGTCATGTGGCCAGATGGTTACACGAAAAACAAATATTAGGAAAATATTTAAAATTTTTGCGGTAGTTTATTGCAATTTAGTAGCTGAAAATGTGGAGAAGGAAACAGTTCCACGTGACCAATCAGTTATCCATAGAACTCAAGCAATTTCTCTGTGGGCCACCCACCACAGTTTGGAAACATTTGCTCTAGTATAATGTGGGTCAGTTGGTAAAATGGGTTTGTTTGAATCACCTACATTTTAATACAGCCAAATGCAAGTTCATATATCAAGCAAGAGCAAATGCAGGTCACATTTACAAGATGAGGCAGCATATCCTCAAATGCAGTGCCTCTCTAAAGGACTTAGGCAGGTAACAAGGGGGCATGAGCTCCAAGTGTAATGCAGTAGTTAAGAGGGCAAGCACAACCCTTGGATGTATGAGTAGGAGACTATCAAGGAGGAAGATGGAGATGGTAGGGAGAATATTACTGGAATACTGTACACAGTTCATTCTATTAAGTTTTCACAAGAGAAGGGTAAGACATGACAAATGTCCATGAGCAAGGGATATCTGATAGTAAGATAATTTCTTACTATTCTATTGAAATATATATAAATATATATATATATATA